GGGTGTGTACATTGGATACTTTTTCCTCCATTCTTGTGATACTTTGCTCAGGGAATACTAATTTAAAAATGACATTTTATATTAAGATACTCATACCAAGGTTTTAATTTCTATTGTAATATATGGAACATAATTCAAATTGAATTCTTTAACTGAAAGCAATATTTTTACTTTATATTATTTCATATTTTACAATTGAAATATCCAGAACTGCTTGAAATTTCCAGAAGTTCCTAATTCAATTAATTTGAACAATAATTTGTCCATTTCTTGCAATCACACCCTGGATACTTGTAGAATCACAAAATTCTTTTATGGATCTGAAAATTCCATTAATTAAAAGAAATACATTGTGAAAGTGGGATTAAAATGTACATACCACATCCAGGTTTTCTTGTGCAGCTGTATTTTTAATCATTTGTATAGAATAAGAAGAGTTAATTACTGAGAGAAACAAAAAAATTATAGTGGTGATAATTTTGACTACAAAAACACTGATAATGTCTGATTATTTTTTTCAGATATACAAGTATTTACCCTTTACTACTACCTACTATTTACCTTTACTACTACCTACTATTTACCCTTTACTACTACTACTACTATCTATATTTCATTTATGCTACCATTAAAAACTGCCTGGTTTTACAAGTTGGTATTGGAATCTCAGCCAACACCTTTCTCTTTCTCTTCTGCCTCTTCATACTTCCTCTGGATCATAGGCTGAAACCTACAGACCTGATCATCTGTCACTTGGCCTTCATTCACATAGTGATGTTCTTCATTGCAGTGTTATTGGGGTCTCCAGAACTCTTTGAGTCATTGAATTTTCATAGGGACTTTAAATGCAAGGCATTTTTCTACCTGAGCAGAGTGTTCAAGGATCTCTCCATCTGCACCACCAGCCTCCTGAGCATACTCCAGGCCATCACCATCAGCCCCAGCACCTCCTGGTTGGCCAGATTTAAACGTAAATCCACAGATTACATTGTTCATGTTTTATTCTTTTTGTGGTCCTTCACCTTGTCTTTTAACAGTGGCATGATCTTCTATACTGTAGCTACTTCTAATATGACCCAGACAAATCTACTGAATTTAGATAAATACTGCTCACTTTCTCCCATGAGCTCCATCATCAGGGGTCTTCTTTTTACTCTGTCATTATCAAGGCATGTCTCCTTTGTAGGAGTCATGCTGCTCTCAAGCGCATACATGGTGATCCTCCTGCTCAGGCATGAGAGACGGTCTCAGCACCTTCATAGCGCCAGGCTTTCCTCTAAAGCCTCCCCAGAGAAGAGGGCCACCCAGACCATCCTGCTGCTAGTGAGTTTCTTTGTGGTAATGTACTGGGTGGATTTAATTATCTCTTTCTACTCAACCATGTTATGGGCTTATGGCCCAATCATCCAGGGTGTCCAGCATCTTATGGTCAATACCTATGCCACAGTCAGTCCTTTGGTGCTACTCAGTTCAGACAAAAGGATAATTAATATTCTTCAGAATATGCAATATAAGTGGCATAGATTCCTAGTAAAAGTAATTCTCTGAAGAATAGGTTCTTCTGCCATTAGTTAAATTATTCTTGTAGAAGATAACTTGATTTAATTAACACGTGTCAAATTTTACATTTATTATATATCAATTATTTTAAAGCTGAAGCAGTTAAAAACCAAGTGGTTGTTAAAGTTCACTGTCCTCCAAAACTTGATGTCTCATGTTTTAGAACTTTGTAATATTTTGTTTTGCTTCCCTGAACTTCCTATAAGAAAACTTCTGTATTTTAAGAAGCTTCTATTGGTGATAAGTTATCAGTATTTTACCTCATTCCATTATTTCTTACTTCCAAAAATATTTTATGTTACTCTTATTTAGTAAAGATATTTCAGCCAGGTATCCAATTATAGTAAGAACAATAATTTCTTTCAGCACTCTTCATTTTTCTATTATCTGTATTACACACGTCTAGAAATGATGCACTCACCTTGCTTCACACTCTATAAGAAATTACGATTTGAAAATAATTTGGTTTGCACATTTGAAAAATTTATTTGGGATAAGTTCCTTGAGTAATTTTCTTTGTTGAACAGTCCCCAAAACCTTGAGGTCCAGGTGACTGTACGGTACCTGAAGAGACAACTGTCTTCTTGGTTTGATTACTCCTAAGAATTCTTTTAATTTACTTGTGCTCTTAGAAAGTGCTCATATTTTCCTATTCAATTTGTTAGGTAATTTGTGGATAATGGTAACTTTTGAGTATTTTTAGATATCTGCACCAAGTAATATTTATGAACATGTTTTTATTTTAAAACATGAAATATAAAATGGTAATCTCTCATCTTAAAGAATAATACCTGTTTATGGCAAGACTTACTGTACTATTCAGTTAGTATTGATATAATTAATTATGAAAACGTAGGTCCTTAGCCTCCAATCAAAATGTTTTCTCCTTATCAATACTTGGACTCCGTAAAAGTAATGTCAGTTTAAATTTTAATTTATTACAGTATTTATTTAAAATTATGCAAACAAATTTGCACACGGTAATTTACATATTACATTTTGGTTATATTATAATTCATGGTTTCTATTGTCATTTGATATTACTTAGAAAGTCTTTTCTCGGCTCGGCGCCTGTGGCTCAAGCGGCTAAGGCACCAGCCACATACACCTAAGGTGGCAGGTTCGAATCCCCAGCCTGGGCCCGCCAAACAACAATGATGGCTGC